GATAGATAGATAGATAGATAGATAGATAGATAGATAGATAGATAGATAGGTGATAGGTGATAGATAGACAGACATAGATAAAAATAGATGACAGGTAGACACAGACACAGAGACGCATAGTCACAGATAGGTAAACCAAGCCACGCTTAGCCCTGAGAAATCCCAGCGCACAATACTCAGTGGCTGTGTGTACAAAACATGCCGTACCCAAAGGAAAAAACAATCACGGCTTAACCCAAACCAGCCTTTCCTAATCCGCTCAGCTGCAGACGTGCCACCCGCAGCACCAACGTTGGGCAGCCTTAGGCAGGCTTCTCCTCCACGTGCGTTTAGCCCTCTTGTAAAAGAGAGCCTGACCCGTGTTTTGCAACGCGGACCAGCAGCCCCACCTGCTGTGAGTGACGCCACTCTCTTGCAGCCCCTACCGGTTGCGCCCTCCCGCCCCAGCCACGCCTGGGACCGCTCAGGTGGGCTCTTTCTGACGCTGTCCTTTGCTTCTAGCCCCAAGACCGGAGGAGCTGAGCCCCCTTGCTGCCCCTAGGCAAGGTGGCAGTCCAGTGGCGAGCTGAGCTTTGAACCCCCACTCAGGCTCTGCAAGAACCGCCCTGCCTAGGGAGCCAACTGGATCTCTCCCCGAGGTCCTCTTGAGATCCCTAAGGACCACCATTCCTCCCAGCTTGATTTGGGGGGCGAGGAAGAGAAAAAATGCTAAGAGGTTTCTGCTTAGCAACTCAGCTTCCCCCCTTTCTTCTCCCCCACGCAGATGGTGGTCTCGAGGATAGCCCGCGTCTGCAAGAACGACATGGGGGGGTCCCAGCGGGTGTTGGAGAAGCAGTGGACGTCCTTCCTGAAGGCTCGCCTGAACTGCTCCGTCCCGGGAGACTCTCACTTCTATTTCAACGTCATCCAGTCGGTCACGGACATTTTGGAGATCGACGGGAGGCCGATGGTGCTGGCCGTCTTCTCCACGCCCACCAACAGGTGAGCTGGAGGGCTGGGCTGGGCATCGTATTGAACCCAGAATTTCAGCTGCCCTGAAATGCAGAATGTGGGATTCTTTGCAAGAGACCATAACGTAACCAGGAAAAAGCTGTCCTTCGTTCCCCACTTCTGGGAACTGTAGATAAAAAGTAATTATTAAAATGAAAATATTATCAAAGAGTTTGAAATATACAAACCTTGTCAGCCTTCCCAGGTAGGGAAGAGCAGAATATCAATCATAGTGGAGCCATCTAAGAAGATCTCCAATTCCCAAAGACCCCCAGGTTGGAAAGGAATTGTAGCTCTGTTCTAGAGGATGTGTTTTTAAAAACCTGGGTTCAAGTCCTCACATCTCCAGCGGAGTTAGGAGAGATTCTAGGCAGAAACCTTAAAAAGGCTGTGCCAAATCAGGGTAAAACTCTGGGCGCACCCACACAGCCTCCTGGCCCTGGCTCTGAGATTTTTTCCGCCCGTGAGGTTGTGTTCTCACCCAGGATCTGGGATTTCCAACACAGCTTTTTCCCCCCCATCCTTTGTAGAGGTTATCCAATGCCTTCCAGTTGCTACAGCAAAGCGATAGGCTTTCCCCTAGTTTCTAGTCCTCATGGGGCTGAATGCAGGGGGACTTAAACATAGGAAGAATATACCTTATTCCAAGAACAATTCCACACAGCCTGGAAAACGGTGTCCCCACCATGGCCCTTTGGTCAGGGGTCAAGTCCCACAGCAGCTGGGCAAGGTCCAAAACGTCAGAACTAACCAGAAGGTCTCTTTGATGCTAGTCTTGGGGTAAATGCAGAATCTGGACACTGTAAGAGGAATTTCCCACTTTTTTTTTTTTTTTAAAAGAACTTTATTACATTTCAGTAAAGAATAAAAAAAAACAAGAAGGAAAAAGAAAAGAAAGAAAAGAAAAAATACAGAAGAAAAAAAAAGTAACTTCCAACTTTCTTTGGTCCAGGGATAGATATAAAATGCATTCACCTCTCACTCTAGTATTCAAAAGACTACAATAGACATCTATATCAACAAATGATATAAAACAGATTAGTACAAAGTATTTCTCCAGTTGTGAAATAAATCAGTCCTCAAACCCCAACATCAATATTTCATTTTTTTTAACCTCAAGTAAAAAGCCCGAGAGTGGCTAATTTCCAAATAGGAACAAAGCTAGGCGACGTCTTTTCTTTAATCAAGGTAGCCAGTTTCGCCATCCCCGCCAGTTCCGTTAGGAATTTCCCACTTTTGCTGAACGTGAATTAAGGTGGAATTTCTCCGAACCCTGCGGAACGCTTCCGCCCAGGTTTCTCCCCACCTGGGCTGAGACACTGTTTAGATGCACTTTTATGTCTGCTCTCTCCTCCGTTCATCTCCCAGCTTGTCCTCCATCTCTCCCTCCAGCAGAGTTCATGCCCACGCACAGAGTTTCTGCTGCTGCCATTGGGGGCATGGGGAGCAGGGATCGGGACCTTTTCCCTCCTCTGCTGCCTCTTTCTTTTCCGCCACTGCCCACCCCTCACCACCTCCCACCACAGCACAGGAGCACTGCTTGCCGTCATCCTTAGAACACCCCTGCGGGGTAGGCCACTTTGGACGGCAGGCGCCCTGAGGCTGAAAGAACACGTCTTGAGGAAGAAAATGGGGTAGGATGCTCAGTTCAGGCCTCAGCCTTGTGGCTTGCAAAGGCCAGAAAAACAACTGCAGTCCAGCACCCCGGATTCACACAACACTTCCTTCCCGAAACCTTCTTTGCCTCTCTTCGCAGCATTCCTGGCTCAGCCGTCTGCGCCTACGACATGGCCCAAATTGCAGCGGTCTTCGAAGGGCGCTTCCGAGAGCAGAAATCTCCTGAATCCATTTGGACCCCAGTCCCAGAAGAACTGGTTCCCAAACCACGGTAAGGAAATAAGTCAGAGGTCCCATGGCTGGAACCCAAGGGGCACGTGTGCTTCAGGAAAGCCGCTATGGGAAGGTTTCTAGCACTCAGGGAATTCATCCTGATGGTCCTCCATCTCTTTGTCGGATTCCCAATCCTGCTCTGGTTTGCCTGACCTCAGGGCCAATCTCTCTGCAACTGTAATGGTATGTGGGAAAGACCTTGGGAGACGGGGCAAAGAGATGCTGCCAAGGGAAAAGTGTCAGGCCTAGCCCAAGGAACTCCAAGAGACAGTGCAAATTCAGTCCAGTTATGTTTATTAGCTACACCCTCTAGAAAGAACCTCCCAAGGCTAAAACCCCAGTACCAAAAGTCCCCCAGCCACAACAGTGTGAATTCCTCA